CTGGACAATTACACAGAAAGTTGTGATTATTTTATTCTGCATCATTGAAATAAAAATAGCTCAGAATTTCCTGGAGAGATACATGGTTGACCTTTATTTTTATTCACTTGTATATAACTTAAATCGAGTTTTATTTAAAAAAATAAACCTATTTAAAAATGAAATCAGACATGACAGCAGCTTATGTTAAGACCCAAATGTACTATCTATTAAAATTATTTAAACAATTTTTAATTTTTTTTCATCCGCAAACCCTCCATAAGTTTTCACGTTAAAGGGTACTGCTTTTTAACATGATACAGAACAGGGAGAAACACCTCACAATATACTGCATTAAGTAAGGGCTTGCTTCCATGTATCATCCCCTACTGAAGCTTATACTCCACAGATTTCTTTGGCTGATATGTCTTATACCAATGCCCAGCCAGCAGAACTGTATATATATATATAAAGATTTTGCCACCATAGCTATATTAATTAGGAGGCATGACTTTTTTCACACTCCTAATAGCCAGCAAGTAAAGCAAGTCAGAACATTTATTTTCTATCTTGATGGAGCACATCCTGGTATTATAATTTTTCAAATGTAAATATTTTCATTTTCCCTTATATAGGAAACCTTTTTTTTAACCACTTTTATTTTCAGTTTAACTAGTAAGTGCAGGGATTTTTATTTCATTGGACTAATTCACTGAAAATTGAGACTGATTTAGAATAAAAAATAAGGAAATCTTGTGTTCCCTTTCCAATTTACAAACTTAAAACCAGATGGGACGGGGTGAGATGTACTAATTCTGGTTTTTAAAGGCATTTAGGGCTCTAAATATGCAAATACATGTATAGTATGGCTGCAAGAACATTTAAGCAGACTAAGTACCTAGTTTTCATAGGTATTTTTGCAAACCCTGCCGGAAATCTAACTCCATGTTTAGGTCCTTAAATACTTTTGAAAATCTGACCCAAGGTAACAAAAAAAAATGGCCTGTTTACTTATTACAGTTAATACATCCTTCATTTAATAAATCAGGTTTAAATGCAAAAATATATTCTGTCATATAGCATTTATTTAGCATATTTGAGATTATTTTTATTTAGAAAACTATTCTAAAATGCTAGCTTGCTATGTTTTTAATTACATTTTTCATCCAAATGCAGTCTGATAAAAATTCAGAATTAAAAACCCATCATGTAGTGAATAATAAATGTATTGTGTAATACAATACAGTAAATACACACTATTTTCTCACATACCACACACCCACAAATAAGACATGTATCTTGTTTGGGGGAGGGCAGAATGAAAAAAAAGATACTTCTAAAGTTATGGTTGCATAGAACAGGGACAGAGCATTTACTTTAGTTCACTCAACCTTCCTTCCCTGCTCAAACAGAAATTGAAACTGAAGACTAGTCTCCATGGGTGGATCTACAAATCTGAAATAAGCTAAAAACAATCTGTTAGGCTGTGACATAGGAGAAAAGAGGCCAGGAGTAGCTAACAGACTGCAAAACTGCCAGAAGAAGGGTTAACCTGATTAATGGAACATCAAGACCATGAAACAGGAGAGGTGGTCATTAATACCAGTGGAATGAAGAGCAACAAACAATTAAATCACTAAGCTTCCTGAATAGAAATGCCACTACTGCTGCCAGGCACTTCGCTTTAATCTTTGGGTGGAGGAAGAATCAAAATGAAGTACTTGTATTTTGGACAAATAAAAAAAGATTAGCTTTTCTTCTTAAGACACACACCCTAATTCTGGAAAGTTAAGTTTTGGGGAAAGAGTGTGTATAGTATATAAGTAAATATGAAAATAAAAAATTGTAAAACTTAACAGACTAAATAGATATTTCTTACGAAGCTTTATAATTGCTTCAATAATTGTGCAAATAGGTATAGTATAGTCTCCAGTTTATCAAAAAGAAATAGATTCAAAGTTTAGGCCACATTTGTTTGCAAATTAGCATATTAAGTGGTTATACAAAACAATAAGGACCTTTCCTTTTAAAAAATCAAAAAGTACAAACCAAAAGATTAAAATCAGTTATTCAGAACAAAGTTTTCTATTTGTTGATTTCAACCAGGGGAAGGCAATTATTTGGGCCCAGGGGCCACATAACATAGCGAGTTTTGATGAGTTGTTTTGTGGGCCAGGTCAGCACTGTGGCAGAAAGCCACCTTGGTCTCTCCCCAAAAATCTCTGCCCTGTGACACTGTGATTTAAATCTCTGTGCTGTGACCATTCAATTAGGATGGGCCCAGCACACAGGGGACCACACCCTCAGCCTGTCTCTTTAGGGAACTGGAGCTGGCTGCATTCCTGAGGGAGGGGGAAACCTGCTCCCTCTGCTTATGTGACTTGCATCACTTACCTGGGTAAGGGGTTTCTACCTGGGGAGCTGGAATCTGCCCGGTAACAGGTGATGCATTTCAGA